GTTAATCTAATGAATAATTGATTTGTTAAATCTAATGAACAATTGTGTCTGATTGGTCCAAATGCTACTATATAGGGCATATATATATATATATATATATATACGCACACACACTTTTTACATATTATATATGCTATATAATATATATAATAAATAATCATTTTTAAATGCGTAGTATTGTATGTGGAAAAAAAGAGAAAGTTTGTAGTTTACTGATAAAATATGTTGTTTTCCATGGGTTTAAAATTATAATTTTTTGAGAAAATTTACAGGCAATGAAACTGTATTGTGCAATTATTTTTAATAGTAATATTGTATTGTATTAAAACAATGTATTATATTGCGGTAGCTTTATAATGTTTGTGGGCAACTAACCAAAAGAGTAAAGTAGTCAGCAAGTGTTCATTCACTCTGGTTTGTTCATTCCAGGTTTCCAGCTCTGAAAATGAAGAAACTAACTTTTCCTCCATAAATGTGGACTCAACCCTCGACATTCCTGCCCTCGAGTTTATAAATGTTCCTGATGTCAACACTGCGGCTAAAGTGAGTCGTATCATATATATATATATATATATATACACACACACACACACACACAATAATATTTTGGATTAATTTCTTTAAACCTCATATTTCCTTTCAGAGTGAGAAAGTAAATCCGTCTGAGGCTCCGCAGGCTGAAGACTCATTATGCTGCAGTGAATGGGATCAGGGATGGACAGCAGGAGACGAAACGGATAAGACGAAACTAAAACCTGAAGTCAAGACCGAAGACGAATTGAAAGTAAGGATGCCAACTCGTCCACAATAGGCATGACATGACAGCTTTGGAGTGGCACATATATTTGACAGGTAAAAAGAGGTAAAGTCTGAGGTAAAATCTGATCCCAGTGCTCATGAATGAAGCTCCAGGCTTCAGACTTTCATTCCTCACAGCGTTTAGCACACAGTCATCACTCAGAATGACATGAGGTGCTGTGTGTCTGGAGATTTAATCTGACGTATTGCTCCCCTTTACATCCCCGTTCTCCCGCTGAGCCCTTTGGGAGGCAGTTGATCTTAATTGTGTGGTGATTAGATGAGAATGTTAATTAGCCTCTCCACAGAGGTTCATCTGTTTAATCATTCAACAGAACGGTTCATCGGAAAAGGCAAGTTTCTACAAGAGACATGCAATAGTGATTTTCAGCTGTTTGCAGGATGAAATCACAGAATCTAGCATAGCAGTTGCTGTTTCTTTTAAAGCTGGAGTGTGTCATTTTTGATGTCAAAATACTTGCTGAAATATATAAATTGAAAATATTTAATATTCTTAATTGTTTAAAATGTGTAAAATATTGAAAATATTTTAAAAATATATTTTATTTTAAAATACTTGCTGAAATACAGTGTGTATATATATATATGTGTGTGTGTGTATATATATATATATATGTATGTATGTGTGTGTGTGTGTGTATATATAGGGGTGTAACGGTTCACAAAATTCACGGTTCGGTTTGATACGACAGTGGTGTCACGGTTTGGTACGTTCGGTACGGGGGTAATTGGTTTTGTCGCAATGTTGAAATATTTCTGTTTTAAACCATGAAGACGAGCTAATGGATATCACGCAAGCAACGTGCAAACTTTGCGCAAGAGTTATGCCAGTGAACACTATGCAGAAAGTGAAAGTAAAAATGGAATGATGGAGTAATGACGGAGCTTTCGGGCGCATCTGATGCCGCATATTCTCTCAGAGACAACGAGAGACGAATCTACTTCAACATATGCTGATAACGGTATATAGCTAACTGTTTTAATTCATTCCCTTAATATTTCTCTTGTGGCCCATACATAGTGAAAAAAAAATTAGAAGAAACGTATTTTGTGTTAAACAGGTTGCTTTTGAAAGTCGGTGCTTGAAATAAAAGCTTTTTATTTCATTGATTTTGGTTGATGACTGCAGTGTTAATATTTTAATTATAGGTCTATAATTAATTGTATAATAGACCTGTTTTAAAAGACCTTTTTTAAAAACATTTTAATCGAGGAGTAAATAGCCTTTTGTTATCCTCGCAGCACGTCAGTTATGTGGTAATTATTGCGGGGCAAATTAATTGTAATCCTAATTTAATAATAAAAGTAACTTCACAATAATAATAATAATAGGCCTAAAAAAATAAGAATGTAACAGGCCTACATTAATTGGAAATGCCAAATCCTCTTAATGTTGCCAATAATCGATGTTTTTGACAATATCTCTGGCTATCGTCGATACAAGATCATCGTCTTTCGACGCAACCCAGCAAGGGGAGGTTATCGCGGGGCCGTCCGCTACGCCATTGGCGCAACTGGCGCAACACATTGCCTGTTACGTCGTTTGGGTTGTCTTGTTGAGCACAGTGGCACTGAGAACACTTTAAGCTCTTTCATTTTCCAAATGTAATAGGATTAGTCCAACGAATCGTTTGGTTTGTAATGCGTACCGATCCGAAAGCCTCGTACAGAACGGTTCAATACGAATAAGTGTATCGTTAGACCCCTAAAAAAAAATCTATATATATATAAGATTTGTTGTTAAATATAAAAAATATTGATAAAATTTTTATTTTTTCCTGCTAAAATATGACAACTATACTTAAGTCATGTAATTAATCCAAACCTTTCGAAATTGAAGTACTATATATATATATATATATAATTTTATACTTGCTTAAATTAACATTAATGTCTAATATTAATATATAATATTGTTTATTTAAAACATTGTAAATATATTTACAAAAATCCATTAAAATACTTGCTAAAATATGCAGAGACAACTATAATTAAGCCATTTGATTCATCCAAACCGCTCAAAGTTGAGGTACTTCTGTAAACAAATTTTTTTTAAATAAAAAAATTATCTGTGTCAACATCTCTTTAATAGTATTACTTTTTTCACAGAGTGGCTAAAGTGTGTCATTTTTTCCTTAAAATGTTTGCTTGAAATAATTTTAATGTCTAATATTAATTAATATGTAATGTTGTTTGTTTATTTGATTGTTTGACCAATGACAGACGAAAACCTGCTTGATTTAGATTTTTTCTCCATCCAATTGTTTTCAAAGGTCCCTTTAGTGATTCTACAGGGATGATAATTACTCACTTCAGCTTTCAATTAAGGCAATACTTTAAAGGGATAGTTCACCCAAAAATTTAAATTAGGTAATTAATTACTCACCCTCATGTCGTTCCAAACATGCAAGACCTTCGCTCCTCTTCGGAACACAAATTAAAGGGATCCATGATTATAATTTCATTTTAACTTTAGTTAGTGTGTAATGTTGCCGTTTGAGCATAAACAGCATCTGCGAAGTTACGATGCTCAAAGTTCAATGCAAAGGGAGAAATTGTATTTTACAGAATTCGCTTTTTTAAGGCCTACAACAAACGGCTGGTAGGGACTACAACGAGCTTCTTCCTGGGTTTGTGACATCACGAACCCAAAGAATTTACATAAACCCTGCCCTCGGGAACACACAACAAAGGGGGTGAGGCCATGTTACTGTTATAAATTATTACTGTTAAAAATTAAACAATTACTCTACAAAAATGCTACAACGCAATCATTTATTATGCTGTACTAAAGCTTTAATAAGGATAATACCGTATATCAAAAGGTAACAAATAGCAGTAGCATTTACAAATAACATCGTATCTAAAAAGTATGAGACAACTCCAAAAAAAAACAACATGCCATTCTAAAACGTCGTGTATGAGTCGTGCTTGCATAGGTTCTATTCGATCCTCTTCAGTAATATTCTCTGGGTCTGACTCGGGCTCAAATTGATAAGGCAATATTGACGCCATTGTTTACAATACACTGGAGCACATGCAACTACCCGTTATAGTAAGAGGCGGGACATTTCTGGACAACATCCACTAGGCGTTTAGCGAATCACAACACACTGGGCTAACCAATAACCAATCTGTGCCCATTATGAATTTCTGAGGGAGGGGCTTCATAGAACCAGGAAGTCAACAGACCATTTTTAGGAGAATGGAAATAGCGGTGTAGAATAAAGGTAAAATATGTGAAAAATAATGTGATTTTTTTTTTTTTTTTAACTAAGCTAAAACATGTAATTTTTTTTTTTTAAACGAAGCTAAAACACGTTACAGTGCACCCCATAAACACAATCAAGCCTTCAAAAATAGCCAATTGACCACCCCTTTAAGAAATATTTTTGATGAAATCCGAGAGCTTTCTGACCCTCCATAGACAGCAATGCAACTTCCACGTTCAAGGCCCAGAAAGGCAGTAAGAACATCATTAAAATAGTCCATGTGACATCACTGATTCAACCATAATGTTATAAATATACGAGAATACTTTTTGTGTGCAAAGAACACAAAAATAACTTTATTCAACAACTTCTTCTCTTCTGCTTTAGTCTCCACCGCCATTCACGAGAGTACCACAACACATGCGTGTGGTGCTGCTGACGCAGGAGCCAGTGTTTGATGTACAAGGTCCATCTCTCTTAGTTCATCGTCTGTATATTCTGGTTCAAATAAGTAAGGCTGGGCAAAAAATTGCAAGTCATCAACTCTGTCGAAATCTTCAGACATGTTTACAAAGACTGTTTTATGTACAGAGTGTGTCTTCCTCTGCTTGTAAACAAGGCACTGCGTATCCGAATGTTTTGTGGTACGTGAACGTGCATCAAAGACTGACACGGAAGAGAAGAAATTGTCAAATAAAGTCGGTATTTTTGTTTTCTTTGCGCACAAAAAGTATTCTCGTAGCTTCATAACATTACGTTTGAACCCCTGATGTCACATGGACTATTTTAATGATGTCCTTACCTACCTTTCTGGGTCTTGAACGTGTCAGTTGCATTGCTGTCTATGCAGGGTCAGAAAACTCTCGGATTTCATCAAAAATATCTTAATTTGTGTTCCGAAGGTGAACGAAAGTCTTACAGTTTCGGAATGACAAGAGCCCGAGTAATTAATGACAGAATTTCCATTTTTGGCTGAACTATACCTTTGAACATTTCTAAAGCAAATTAAATGATCTACGTGGACACATTTTTTCATGTTTTTTCACATAGCCTGAGACTGTGCCTACTCCTCTACCTGCCCAAGCAGCAGTATGTGAACCGCGGATGTGTGCATCTCCAATTGAACCAAAGACCATCTCAACCACATGCACCAGCCCTCACACCCCTGGCCCCATCAGGATCAACACCAGCTATCCAGGTACAGCACCTCAATGCCACAATACGAAATATCTTACTTCCTCAAAAATAGTCATATGAAATCCAAATCAACTGTTTGCTTTGACGACATGAGTTTTCCTAGTTTTTCCAGGTGTACCCGTTAATCTGGTCCAGCCCCAGCTCTCCCACTTTATGATGCAGTTATTCGGCAGTCCAGTTCATCTGGGACCAGTTCCAAACCCTCTGTTCCAGCACCACACATCTCCGCTAGCTCTGAGACCAGCTGCGCGCCTGTCCGCCGGGGCAAACATCCTACCATGGCGATCCAATTACATAGCTTGACCGGCCACAAGTGGTGCGTTTTGTACTTTTGTCATGTTCAATAACTTTTGTTCTTTCGTTTTTTTGGCTGCAACATCCCAGAAATATATCAAATGATATATAAGAAAAGCAGCAGAGGGCACGTAAAAGTGGATACATTTCTTATTCTTTTTAGCGCAATATCTCTCCAGTAGCACGCTGTTCTTTATTTTTATGTATTTGCATGTACAGTGCTGAAGTTTTGTGTGTTTTTGTTTTTTCTCAATGGACCAAACTGGCCATTTGTTTGTTTTATTTGTTATTAAGTTGCTTGTTCTGTGTTCGATTCAGATTTTTTCTTTTATCAAGAACCAAAATGTCCAGCCAGAAAGAAATTTGCTGATTATGCTTTTGACTTTTATCTCATAATTATGACCTGTCATGAATTGAACTTTATTTTCATAATTTTGACTTACAATAATTGACTTTATGCCATCATTTTGACTTTTTATTTTGTATCATAATTTTGACAATTTCATGGATAGTGAAAGTTGTCAGTATGTGATAATTTCTATATATTTATGGCATAAGACTTGAAGTCAAAAGGACCCTCCTTCAGTGTAAAAGTCTGGCAATTTTTTCAGTCATTTGAAATGATTGCTAAACAAAGAAACAAGTGATTACATTCATAAGTAGTAGGTTGATTGCATTTCCATTAGCTGTTTAGTGTTAAGAAATGTAATGCATGTCAGTATTTTTCATTCTTTTAATGAAAATGAACCATAAAATCAAATCACATGCAGTCCAGGCCTTTCCTCTCTCTGTTTCGTCAAGCTTATAATATGCTTTGCCACAGCTGATGAATTCTAATATCTTTTGCTAACCTCTGCCAGCTCCAATAATGGAAGTTGGACTCCATAAGCAAAACAAGGCTGTGAGTCATTTTTTGTGGTGACACTTTTGTTTGTTAGAGCAATGCTAGTATGTCTATATTTATGTGACAGACCATACAAATTACATAAGGGCTTTTCATTTCAAATCATATCTCGACATTCTGCCTCTATATGGAGCATCAAAACAATAATTTCTATGCCATTAGCATCACCAAATGGGTTGTTTTATGATTCTTTTGTCCTTTTTGAAGCTTGAAAGCTCTTCACTGATGAACTTTGAGAGAGTTTGGAGAATGACACAGTGATTTGTGCCATTAGGAGAGTCTTTGTGCAAATGCAAGAGGGAAGAGAGCTCTGATACGGATCGAATTAAAGCACACTGCTGCATGGCAAATCATATTACCCTGGTTAACTGACCCACACAGACATTTTCCCTGCCAAGATGCCACTAGTTACCATAGAGACCTGTTCTACCCCTGTTAGGTTTTCCTGTGGTACTTTCTGGAAATGAGTCATATACCGCAGCTTTTTTTGAGTCAAAAAGCTAATAACGCCGTTTTGTATGTTGCTCTCAAACCTTTTTTTTGTTGTTTGTTTGTTAATTTTGTCTTCAAACATAATTTCATGCGTCTTTTTTTTTCTGTCAAATTTTCAGCCAAGTCACCTTTTTCAAAAGCGAAATTTCCTGTTGTGTAATGGCCTACTTCCGATTCATTGGCCAAGACCTGTTCTACCCCTGTTAGGTTTTCCTGTGGTACTTTCTGGAAATGAGTCACATACCGCAGCTTTTTTTGAGTCAAAAAGCTAATAACGCCGTTTTGTATGTTGCTCTCAAACCTTTTTTTTTTGTTTGTTTGTTAATTTTGTCTTCAAACATAATTTCATGCGTCTTTTTTTTTCTGTCAAATTTTCAGCCAAGTCACCTTTTTCAAAAGCGAAATTTCCTGTTGTGTAATGGCCTACTTCCGATTCATTGGCCACTAAATCTACGAACATATTCAGGTGAGCTAACTTGTGAAAACACTCCATTACGCGATATTAATGACTTGTTTATTGAATTATTGTATGGAATTTATATCATTTACAGACGTAGAACTGAATACTCGAGCTACAACACAACACAATTGTGATAGCCTACTGCTTAAAAATATAAAGAAGCGGGGCATGTTTTAATCTAGTTTTTATATTATGCTTAGTGAAACTTTTTAATAAAACTTAAGTAGAAAGCGGCCACAGATCTCCTCTGCCTGACTATGAATAAGTCTGATCTTTATAGTGTACTAGTGTAGGTATCCTTCATCTGAGCGCACGCGTCTCCTCCAGTCTCTCCGCGCGCAGGGAGTAACTCCTCCTTTCGCTGTTTCTCTTGTACTTGCATGGGCATTACCGCAAGCTTCCTAAATCGAAACATGTAGACCGTCAGATTTTAGGTCTTGAGAACAAGTTTTTAGTCCCTTTGTGTGGAAATAATCGGAGAGATGGTATGATCGAGCGCTCGTCTCCAGACCTCTCTCCAAACAGGCTACAGACATTCACTGAAGGTACGATTGGGTTTGTCTTTTCACATCCTGTTCATTTGTTTTATTTAAAGTAACGTTAGATAGGAAGAATCGACGAACACTGAGTTAGGCTACTTAATCCAAATGAATTTGATGGAATAATGGTAGTATTGTGATAATGACCGTATTGATCTGTGTGGATTTTGTTTTGTGTTTTTACTTTACTTTGGTAAAAAAGTCTAAATTTAATTTACGTTTTCTATGTTTGTTGTTCTAAACTATAGATATTGTTATAAAACGTAGATGGGCTAAAACAAAGTGACATTTAGTCATGAATCAATCAACTAGGCTAGAGGCTATAAGGTTTTGTAACTAAAAGGACAAATGTATTTTTAAATCACGTTGGGGAACAGGTTGTGAGTATAGTTGTGTATTTAAAAGTTGATATGGCAACCGTTCGCCAAACGAACAATTGGCCTAACGATTCGCCACACGAGTTTTTCGCGAAAATATCTCAGAAAACATAGTCTCCTAGTAGCTTAATTAATAATTTGCACACTTGCCATCCACATTTGTTTCTTTCAATACAGAAGTAAGCTATTTTCTGTGCGAGACCTCCGATTCTAACAAAGTGCAGTATTTGCGCTACGAAAGAATTGATAACTGTGACAATAAGGTAAAATAAAAATGATACAATATACCAGTTTGCGATATCACCCCGCCCCCGAATGACATTTTGGAGTTAATTTGATTGCCAATTTCCCCCAGAATGTGATTGGGCTAGTTCGAGTAGCAATATAGTTGGTTTTGTTATGCAGACCTGGCAACCCTGGAGCAAATGAGACTGGAAGCCCAAGTTACAAAGGGCCACGCCCGCTTTTACGTTACAAACAAGGTGAATAGAGATATTTTCACAAAATAAATTGAATAAAAAATAAATATTTTTAATGAAAAGGTGTGACAACTACAACCGAGGCTAGCTGTTTACCTTTAAGGCACTTCTGCAGACCAAATCTTTCTCTTGTGGTTTAGCCTAAAAAATTATTAAATTATTATTATTAAATAAAAAATTATTTAACAGTTTAAGGTGGTTTATAGGAATGTTATTCAAACTTAAACTCAAACCCTAAACTTAATCCTAAACCTCATAGGAATGTTATACCAGGATCATCACAGCTTGAAAGCAGTTGGGTTTAGACTAGAGTTCTGTGCTATAGTTCATAATGTACATGAATGCACATCCCTCTTTGCACTAATCTCAGAGGAGATGTTTTCTAACAGAGATGATGATTGCATCTGGGCTTTGTGGCCGACCAAAATGCAAATGCATTCTGCGAGGAAACACAGAAATAAGAGCTTTTCCAGAAGCTGTCGGATGAACTCAAACTACATACCTGACCAAAACTGCTGGTGATGGAAGAATGTTGCTGTGGGAGTGCTATTCTGAATTATTTAGAAACTGGAGCTGTGATTTTGCAAAGACAATGTCTTATTTGAAAATGCTGTAGCAGCTTACAATGATGTCTCACTAGTACTTGTTAGGTTGATTGGTTTACAAGATAACCTCACTCATTTAATGCTATAGATGAAAGAAATCTTTAGTTATAGAATGGTTTAGTGAATTTTTTATCAGTTAAAAAAAAAAAGAGATTTTTATTAAATGACTAAAACAGAAAAACTATTAAATTACCATTATTAATGTTCCTTTTTGATGGATATTTTGATTTGGGTCTAGAGTAGACAATTTTTTATTTAACTTATTTAAAATATAATCATAATTAGTATTATTATTGTTATTGTTGTTGTTTATTAATCAATTGATTAATTAATTAATTTAAATTTTTTGTTATTTTTTATTCTGTATTATTTTACTAGACCGCACATTTATTGTGTAGAATGTTACAGCAAAAAAAAAAAAAAATTAATTTAAATAAATTACTAAAAAGTGAGGGGGTTATATTCCGTTACGTGTGTCGTAACTCGTAACAGGATATCAGTTCTTCTAAAGGTCATTGTTTATGGGCTCTAGAGGCTGGAAATTGGTTAATGCAGGGAGCTGCGTCCCAGCCCTCTGTAGTAGAGATGAATTAAAGCCAGTTCAGAATAGAGCCAACAACTAATATGGAGAGCCAGAGATTATACCACCAAATAACTACATTTAAAGGCAGAGTAAGTGATTTTTCAAAAACACTTTAGAAAACTGATTCGGGCCGAATAGCAAAACAAACTTGTAGCCAATCAGCAATAAGGGGCGTGTCTACTCGTGATGTGGAGGAGAGCGCGTTCAGTGCATGGGACGGACATTAGTCGAGCCGAGCGACAGAAAGATAGAGATGGCGGATAAAAAACAAAAGAGGAAAACGTCTGCGGAAAGATAAGGCAAGAAGTAGGACCCGTGTAAAATATTGGATCAGCTTTCCAGTGCTGGAGAGAACTCAAGGAGCGGAGGCCTGCGATCGGACGCCGAGGTTGCTTTGTTTCTTCTCAATAGGTGAGTAACACCGTGTCTACAACAGCTCTGCCTACACTGGACGCGATCAAACGACCGCTGAAAACCATTTGAAATGTGTGTCAGCACATCATAAATAGAACCCGGCAGCAGTTTTCTGTCGGGATTTGTTGCGCCGCGCCGCTCACGTCCGATTTAGACACGTGTAACATTGGTTTTGCTTTGTTTCACAGAACTAATCGTTGCCTGGGTTGCGTACGTATATGTGGGGCGGAGCTATCAAAATAGGGGCAAGACCCTTTTGGGGTAGGGGCGTGTTTGTTTTGGTGATTTCAAATATCAACATTGGCTACCAGAAATCACTTACTCTGCCTTTAAGATATTTTAGGACAGCATTGTCAGTAAAATTGACTATTTTCTTTAGATTATATTTGAAACTGCTGTT